GGCGTGAGTACGACTGTACTTGACGGTGACGGTCTCACAGGTTCACAGCTACATCACAACGTATCGGACCGGAGACTTGAAATGTGTGCCGTTCACTGTATGCCTGGTGTCCTTCAACAGAACTTTCCACAAGTGAAAAGCAACACTTGCTCTGAGCCCTAACCATGGAAAATACCAAACACAGAGATAGGAGAATAAAAACAATGGTCTTTTCTAAAGGAGCACTTCCAAGATTATCTGCCCGTTCTCAGTTGCACAAACTCCTCCCAAGTTCAAATTGATAACCCGGGCTAAAGAGACGCTCTCCTTGGGTCGTTCCGGCTTCCTGAGGTCGCTTGTGGACAATGGGACCTGTGAGGCCCACGCTGGCGCCCACCCACGGCTCGGGACTCCCCTTCCTCGCCGTCCTTGACAGATCACGGAGGACGCCGTGAGTGACGCACTCGGGTGCAGGGGCTGGGGCTGTGGGGGTTCAGACACCCTCCCGCTCTGCCCCCTTATCATCAGTCTCCCGCCCTGCACACGCGCATGATTTACACCAGAAGACGCGTATTTACCCAAACTGATGCTGGACATAAACCAAACAAGGCTTTAAAAAAATCCTGGTGCCAACACAAGTGTGTGTGTCTATCAGAAAAGGGGAAAGCAGATCAACTCTCTTTGGCCTGCTCCCCCTGAAAAAGAAAAACAACATAATAAGAACCATCTGAGGCACAGAAGGACAGTTCCTGGCACGGGAATAAGCACGAAAGTTTTGGCCGAAAGATAAACATTCGAAAATGTCCATTCAAACTTGTCATTTAGAACCCAAAATTCAGATGATCAAACCCAGTCCTAAGAAGGTTTTCTGTCTCATTTTATTTTGTTTTTGCCATTGTATGACGAAGGGAGAAAAGGCCGCGGCGGCGGTTTCCTCCTCTCCAGAGCGAGTCGGTGAGCTCACTGGATCTGTGTTTACGCGACACGTTCCAGGGGACTGCGTGGTGGAGGCTCTGGAACACAGGTCACTGTTTACAGAAATCTCATACATGTCACCCGCTCACCCTCGTTCTGGTGTTTGAGGTTTTCCATCCAGCGTGGCTGTTCTCCCACACAGCCATGTCACTCCCTCTCTCGGCCATTAACTCACCACCGCTTCCCAGCGTCCCCCAGCGTGATGTCCACACCCCCCCGCTTTCTCCATCTGCTCACTTTCACTACCTTCAGCGTCGAGCCCCGTAGCTCTCCGCAGAGACCTCAGCCTCCTTACTACTCCCGCCGCACCGGCGTGCTGCCCGCTGCCCCAGGAGTGTGGACCCGAGCCTGCCGCACACGACCCTGGACCCCCCGGGCTGCCTCTGCTCCCTGATGGGCGGCAGACCGCCCACCTTCAGAGCATCCCTTAGTGTGCCGAGTGCAAGGCAGAAGCTCAGCACACCCTGGATGCACTAACAAATGATCGCCATGGCAACACATGCTAGCTCCCTCCAGCCAGCCTGATTACCGGGGTCTTCAATGTATCCTCCCCACGAAGGAGCAAGTTGGACTCCTTTTACTTCACTGAATCTGCGTATCCAAAGGACATGCACACACGTGTTGCCTGCTGTACAGTGAACAGGGCAAAGGTGACGCAGGCAAGCGAGAGTGGCTGTGGCGTCTCTCCCACACGAGGTTCTGAGTGCGCTGTGCTCTGCACACCTGTACCCTGATGGGCGTGCAAACACACTCATCACCAGGCACAGGGGGGAAGGACTTGCAAGCCCATTTTCCCCGGGATCCCGCAGGGAAAGCCACACTGCCGCCCAGGCCTCTCCATGCCCAGCCCAGGAACTTTCTCACTCGGCCATTAATGATTAAGTAACGGGATCGAGGGTCCCCGGGTGGTGATCTGGGTCAGTAAGTCACGGGAACTTTCTCTGCCAGGCTGTCTTTCGTCGGCTTCCACAGTCTGGCCTCCAATCATACTAGGCTACCTATTAAAAAGAAGTCAGCTTTAACAGTTTTGAGCAGAAGTACCCTTGGAAACAAACATCCCACTTGGGCCTGAGGACCAAGCCCAAACCTCCTGCTGCGTTGAGGCCATAGAGTCCGCTAGACCTTGTGAAGCCGTGTTAACTACATTCTTGACTGGTGCCCAGGCGAGGCTACGGTGATTTCTTGATCCCAGGAAACACCGGGCAGCTGGGGGAGGGACCAGACTTCTGCGCTGCCCTGCAGTCTGCAACGTCCTTCACAACAGACACCCCCACGCGCACAGCAAACAGAGGGGAGGACTACAGCTGTTCTGTCCCCACGGTCACCGGCCCTCGGCCCGCAAGAAGATGCAGCTTGTCCGTGACCCTCGGGGACTCTCTCTCGCTGTCCTTCAGGCAGGATGCGTGTGCTTCCCGCCCGGGGGTCTGGGGGCTGCTTGCGGACTGTGGGGGGGCTGGGGTCTCCCTGACGGTGACAAGGCGGAGGTCCCTGCAGACCACTCTGCCTTAGAGCTGCTAAGGACAGGGGGACAGAAAAGGGGGCGGCGATGCCGCACTGCTAATCCCATGGCCGCGAGACACAGCGACACGGCAGTGACATCCTCACTTCCGAGGGCCCGGACAGAGATAACGAGGGTTTCAAGGCTCCCCGCAAGAGCGCTCTCACACACAGAACTTCCTCAAGTTTCTTTCTTCTTTCTCTTTCTCCTCCAATGCACATTATGTCCACACCCATATTTGCTCAGATAGTCAAAAGGCCGTTCACGGCTTTCTTGCTTGTCTCTTCTACAGAAAAGTTACCCTAATCTAAATGATAGACAACATGAGGAAAATGAAAATATTTTAAAGTCCAATGCATCAAATTGTTTTTAGAAGAAGGCAGTTACATTCATGAATTACCACCTCAGGGCGGTAACACCTAGATTTTTCTGTTTCTCCAGGTCTGTGACACCTTGCTCTCCCTTGCTTTCTGGCAAACAGTTCAACTCTGAAATCCTCTCTCAAAACCGTTATAAATTTCTGCCTTTTCTTGTTTTATATTTGGTAGTGCCCTCTAGTTTTTAGCTCTTAGTTTTCTTTTGGTGGATTTCACAAAGAGGAGACTGGACTTGGTTGCCGCTTGTGCAGTAAACAGAGTCTGCAACTGTTTTGCTTAAACAAGCCTTTAATTAATCATTTAGAGATGGGTCTCAAGTCTTCGTGTTCTCGTGTAATCTCTTAATTCCAGCCCTCTTCCACGGGCTCGGGGCTCGCCCCCGGCCTGCCGTGCTTCCGACAGAAAGCCACTCAGCTCCCACTTCTCTCCTGTATAATTAAGTTCTTCTACGGCTCCATCAATTACTGGTTTTCTACGACGCCAGCCTCACCGCAGTTCTCTGCCGGAGCAGGACATCAGCACGTGGCCAAAGAGGAGGGCGTTAGGAACGATCTCAAAGCAAAAGAAAACCCTGAGACATCCAGCTTGCACTGATGCTTACTTCCAACTCTCAAGAGAGACAGTCCCTATGAATGACAGGTTGAAGGATACTGACAAGGGGTTTAAAACTAACATTTTCACAGGATTTTTAAGACATGAATCTCTCTCTTCTCTCTCTCTCTCTCTCACACACACACACACACACACACACAATCTCTATCAGGTGTCTTTCCAGACATCTGGGTACACTGACATTGAATGCACGCTTCTTGCTTCCTTCACACTCAGCAATCATGACATAAAAATGGTACAAAAGGGGGAGAACAAAGACCGCTAAGGAAGCTGAGAATGTCTCTGTAATATTCACTTTTGTGTGTCAGTTCCCGGACATACATCCCGCGGGCAGCCCAGGGCCTGAACAGACAGGCCAGCTCCCCGAGGACGAGGAGAGACGCGGTAAGCGGAATGTGACCGAGGTTCGTAAACCAGAGCGCACCCCTCTCTTTGGGATTCAGAATGAGATGCCACAGAGAAGCGCTGAATCACAGACACAGCTGGGCTCAAAGGCCAGTGATCTACGTGACGAGAACTTCTACTTTCCTACAAATAAACTGTCTTGTTTTAACTCTAGTCAGGAAGCTGAAGAGCATTGAGCCCACCTTTTCATGCACGACTGACAGCCAGCTTTCACTGCGCACGTGACAGCTAGGCTGGACCTCTGTTTTTGCTAAATAATAAATAATAGTATTAACAATAACAATAAAAACTGAGGACTAAGCAAAAAGTAGATGTCTTGTCCAACATAAAAGAACAAGGATCAGAAATTTTCAAGGATTTTGCAGCCAAGAAGCCATCTGCTTAGAAGCAGGGGGTTGGACATTGAGAAAACAGAGGGAAATCTTGAGTTATCAGTTCAAGAAAGCAACTGTTCCCAATCTACAAATAGTTTAATCTTGCTCCTTATTGCCTGCAGAGACTCAGCACTGCTCTGTGAAAAAGTTCCAAACACTGTAACAACAACAACAACAACAAAAAACCACCTGTGAATTGTGAAATAAACTCGTGACATTCTTCATAGAAAGTAGTTAAGAAAATTGGACCCTGGATGGTACAGTTCAGTGGAATGAGTACCGGTCTGCGAACCAAAGGGTCGTTGGTTCAATTCCCAGTTCAGGGCACAGGCCTGGGTTGTGGGACAGGTCCCCAGTAGGGGGCGTGCGAGAGGCAGCCACACACTGATGTTTCTCTCCCTCTCTTTCTCTTTCCTTTCCCCTCTCTAAAAATAAATAAATAAAATCTTTTTTAAAAATTGGAATACTTAACAGCAGAAGAATTTGCCGTAAGTTTAAGATAATACCACTAATGTAGGAGCTACTCCTGAAACAACCTTTGCTTTTTAACCTGCACGTAAAATTCCATGAATGAGCAAAATCATAAAATAGCTTCACGAAAGCAACTTCAAAAGAGAAACAAACGTGGATTAAATTGTCATTGGCTAAAGACTTACTTTGAACAACTCAAGAGGAAAACGATTTATTAAAAACTGAAGAAGAGTGGAACATCGTATTTTCAGTCCCCCCGATCACGAGAAGACACACAAAAACATTTCATGCAACAGTACCGACACGTACCTGTTTTCGGGTGTATTGAGAAGAACCCTTGTGGGTTTCCACTTGTGATTTTGTACGTCAGCTTGTCACTGGAGCTAGAGTCCGGGTCAAACGCTTCAATCTGGACGACCGACACGTCCTTGGGAGAGTTTTCCACGATTTCTGGATAATACACTGGCTCTGACGTCCGCGGCGCGTTGTCATTGACGTCCTCCACCTCGACGTAGACCTCTATGAACGAGGACAGAGGCACCACGCCCTGGTCGGTGGCGTAGACCGTCAGCCAGTAGTGGGGGGCGGACTCGCGGTCCAGGCGATCGGAAGTCTCGATGACCCCTGGAGGGAGAGAAGACGCATTAATAGAGGAGCATGTCAACAACAACAACCACCACCACCACCACTGCCACGCTGAGAATGTGTCACCTTGCGTACCAACTCTGATGTACCCAGGGCTAATGTGTCACGGCTGTGTGATCTGCAGCAACTTGGCTGATCTCGGTGCCTCCGTGTCCTTCTCCGATAAAATGGAGCTAAAGACAGCACGTTCCTCAGAAGCTGACTAAATAAACCCACACACACAGAACGATCAGAACGGGACCTGGCACCTAACACTGGGTATTAAAGTATTGGCTGTCATCATTCGTATCAGGGGCAAGGCACTCGGGGAAGCCCTTTACAAATATCTCGTCCAGTTCTCAAAACCGCCCAATGAGACGGATGGGTAGTGAGAGCCCATCGAATGCCCGAGTACTCTGCTTTTCCGAGGATGAAGTTTATGGTTGGGTAAGCCTGGCTGACTCTTCTGGATGTTAATTAAGCAGGGAGCCGCAGACAAGCCCGGAGCCGCGGCCCAGACCCGAGTACCCACAGTCCAGCACCTCGGCTCCCCGCGCCACGTCACGGGACCCCTGCCGGAGTTCAGAGGAAGAGGCTGGAGCACACTCCTCTGCACAGCTCAGCTGGGCAGACGCACCCTTTAGGCAGCTGAGAAACACGGGGGACGGCCTTTCCAAGTCCCAGAGCACCGGACTGCTCAGGTCTCCTGTGGACACAGACCTTCGGTGTCTTTTACTCACGCTGAACAGCTGGCACGGCCACCAGAGCGCTCAAAACGCAAGTTCTCCCACTTACACCGTAAGCTCCGAAAAGGCCGAGGCCCCAGGCTTCTGAAATATTAGTGCACCCAGCACCTTACCCAAAGCCCAGTGAACAAAAATGAATGTACATCTTAACTGGAGCAGATACAGAAAAGTCCTCCATTAGGACCCAAACCAGGACCCAAATCTCAGTAAGTCAACTAGTGAAAACTGGAGTCATGTGATCACAAAGAAGGGGGCGCTCGTGCCGATGTGGCCCAGCCTCTGAAATTAGTGGAACCGTCGCTTGATCCGGGGACGAACCTCTTCTCGGGGTGGTGACCGCCGAAAACAGCCCCTCCTCTAAGGCAAAGCCGACCTTTGCGGTCCCAGGTGTCACCCTGCCCTCTGGCTCTCCCAGCACATGCCCAGCACGTCGCTGCACGTGCTCTGGTGTGTTAAACCCTCCGAACCAGCACTCCTTTTGGGGTTCAACACTGTGGTCCAGGATGGGCTTTGGAATCCTACACCCCTCAAATCACTGAAATTTCCTGTTGAATGCCTTTCTGTTTTGAAGGTTTGTGAAGAATTAACAAAGCAATAGTCATTATAATGCTGCTGAATAGCAGTAAGCATTTTATGATTATTTACATTTTATTATTTAGTTAAGTTTGCTCCTTGTAAGTTGTAAACCTTTTTGGAAGTGTTAAATGTTACCCAATATGCAAAATAAATGAGATTTCTCTCCTATTAGCTACCTCAAATAAGCAACTATTTAAAATGTATAAATGGGCCTATCATACTACTCATAGAAATATAAAATAAAGCCTCAGAACTCTTAAATAAAAAGGAGCTAACTGGCCCCTGTATGCAGCAGAAACAACTGTCGGACAAGCTCAAACACATTTTCCTTTTCCTCTGGTCCAAACGCAGTCTATGCTCTCTCTCACTAAATTAGTAAAACAAGGTTTTTAGCTCGAAAGAAGAGGGCTCTTAGTAACCGAGAGAAAGTCATCTTTGCTGGTTTCGTTTTTCATGATCCCCCCCCGCCCCGTCCCCCGCCCCGAACTGAGGCAAAGCAGTCTGGGAATAATACCAGCACGTTCTCTCTCCTAGGATTACACGGTAACAAATGAACGCACACTCGCTCCTCCTGTGTTCTGCCATGTCGTTAAAGTGTAACATAATTCATCTGGCGGATGAAGTATTACTAGAAAATTTCAAGAGGACGGGGTACACGGCGCTTGTCTTCACCTCTTTTGAGTCCTAATCCTTGAACAGTCTGCGCTGCTATCCACTTTTTAGAAGTGTGTCCCTCCAACTATGATTCGTAGGCATTGACTGACAACAGTAATTATGGAAACAAATGGGTTCCGTGTCCCGTACGAGGAGCCCTGTCTCGCAGGCATCGCCTCACTCACTCCTGTCTCCAACCCGCCTGCGCATGTGCTGTTGCTGCCCCTGTACCAAGGATGCCTGTACCGAGGGGAAGAGAGATGGGGCACTTCCCCAGGGGCACAGTCACTGGCACACAGGATGGAGTTCAGTCGCCGTGCGTCTCTGACTCCGCTGCCGGCAAAATTCCATCAGTCCTATTGTCCCCGTGACAAAAGTGCGGTATCAAAATTCAGTGTGAAGACTCTGAAAAGGCAAGCTGGACTTGAAGGTCATCCATTTTTTAACATGGCAATGTTCAGAAGGAATGTATCAAATGTTTGTTCATACGGGATGGTTTTCTCTGGTGTCTGGATGGAAGGGAAAAATATAAAATGGGAGTATACTACGAGGCTGAAATCACAGGCAAAGCCAGCTACCCATTTTCCAGCGGGTCCCACCTTGAGCCTGGTCCGGGAGTGCCCAGGCTGCACCGTGAGTGGCAGCAGCCACGCCTTCTCTGCGCCTGACCCCGCCTGACCCCGGACAGGTCAGGAAGGGGAGATTCTGAATGTCAGGTCACCTCCAGGTAGTAACAAAGGTTAAAAGGGAGGCAGCAAAGTAGCTCCACTTAATACGGAAGAAAACGAAGAGTGAGTTAATTAGCAATTTAAATATTAACTATGCATAATTGAGATGCTAAGAGATATTTCATTCATTCGTGGGCTATATTTTTAAATTTGACAGTGATTGCTAAGATGGTTATGTTTTGATATATTTTAATTACCACACCCTTCTAGAAGAAAGAACACACAAAATTATTTAATACAGCTTATACGTAGCTATAAAGGAAAATTTTGACTGTCAAAGGAGAAGGAGGGCACGCCGAATAATCTCTTCTAACCAAAATGCTCAAATTCATATTAATACAAGCATATTTACTGTGTCTGTACCACTTTAATACGACGACTATTTGCTGTATGCCAAGGACTTCCCTGGGTGCTCTACCCGCATCGAGTGGTTTAAAGAACACCAAAACTGTGTGATTTTCATCCCAGCTTTACAAAGGAGGAAGCGGAAGCTCCGACAAAGTGATCGACTTGTCCAGGCTTTAGAGTGAAAGGAACAAGGCCACGGTCAATGGTTACTGGGTAGAACTGGGATCCGAGTCGACAGTCTGATTCCAGAGCACAGGCGCCTTGCCGGCAGGCTAGACTATCATGAGCCACAGCTTCACGGTCACCCACCCCACAGCACCTGGGATGCTGGGGACCATGGGGAGGGGGCTACAAGGAGTTCTCAACTGGTGGAATCAGGACACCAAAGGAGAGAAGATCCAAGGACCGTGCTTGGCCACAAGGTTCAGGGTCGGGTGCCTGAGCATTATTTGAACTGTGGATTCTGATTCTAAGCACTATACTAAACACATAACGTAGGTAGGGAAAGCACATACATGTGCAAAGTTATTTTACATTCTGCTTTTTAAATGTGTGTTCGGTCGCAAGATACATCCCCCCAAGACCCTGGGCACAGGCTGAAGGCCTCACTGTGCTCCCATCTGGATTCCAGGAAGAGTGGAAGAGTTCAGGAAAGGCTAGAAATACTCTAGATAATCTGCGAAGAAAAGACCAGTAAACCCAAGCTTAGCATCTCGGAATCAAGAACGGTAGACTGGCAAACCCTCAGAAACCCTCAGAGCAACTCTCTTGGGTTTAAATAAAGATGAAATGATTCGCCCAACTTCAGGAGGCTGCACACACAGATTTTAGACTCGAGTGAGACACCTCATTAATCAGGGGCTCATCGGAACCCCAAGCATTCTTCACAGGGGTCCTGGTTTCTGAGGGGACCAGCACCCAACTGTCCAGATGCTGCACCAAACAGAGCATTTATTCTCTCCGTCACTTTAAGTCCTCACTCCTGCACTTCTGTTCCCAGCCCTTCCTAGGGCACAGCTAGCGTTTACACAGATGGACTTCTTCTGTAACTTCAGCAGTTACCTTGATTCACAGAGGAGAAACAAACTTTCAAAACTATTATGAAGACTCCTGGTTAGCATCTTTAGACTCCTACCCATGACTGGAAGTGAATCAACCAACCTACTGCATTTATTCTCAAAACTCGACCTCATTCCTATTTTTCTCAATGTACGATCAGTTACCATCCAACTTTCAGGAACTACTTTTTGCACACCAGGTTATGAATTCACTTTTCCTAGAAAACAATTCTCTAAGGAACCAATAAAAACCGTACATCTTTAAGCTCTAGTTCAACATAGATTTCCCTTTAACCCATACACACAATAATACTGTATCTTATCTGGCACGTATATACATCCATATACGAAATCTAGTCGCCTTCTTTCCTTCTGTCTTTCCTTCTTTCTCTGCCATCTCTGCTCCTATTTTTTTTTATTTCCTCTTTCACTTCCTGAAACAATAGGACGCAACTAGGTAACAAGCAAGCCCGGGCTTTCCTGCGGGACGGGAAGAGTACCAAGGCTGCAAGAGAAAAGGCCGTCAGAAGGAGCGTGCAGAAAACGACACCTTTCTCTCCACAGGCTCCAGGGCCTTGCAGCAGGCGGGCTGGGGATGCTGCTGCGTGATTCTGTACATTGGATACTCTGAGCTCAGAAGACAAGTTCACCCACGCTAGTTATATGAGCTCGCCGGCCACATTATGAGGAACCGTATCTTTGCTTTAGTGAAACATTACACAAGTAAATGCATAGCTTTCCAATCTCAAGAATATGATGAAGACATTCTCAGGAAAAGTTGTTAATAAAGGGGGGAAAAAAACGGAAGGAAGCCGAAATGTAAAGTTGTTAAGTAAAAATGTTGATCATTCCAAACAAGCTCTCTAGGATCCCCAAACCACCACCAGATG